CTATTGGCAAGGACGCTACTAGGGGCTCCAATTGCACCTTTTCTCGGCTCTGGGCCATCGCTCTTGCATTGGATGTTGAGGTCTCGAGCAAGGTCCAAATAGTTGTAAATCTGAGAGCGCTTCGTCAAAAGATTTGGACTGCATGTTCAAAACAGCTTGGCATGTTTGAAGAGCTTCTCGAAAAGTCTTTTCTGTTTACCCTGCTTCGCCCGTCCCGGCCTTTCCATCAAACGCCATTAGGATGCCTAGCAAGCAACGCATGGCTTTCTGTGCTGATCCGTGCTGCATGGCTGGTGGTAGAAACAAGCAACTTAGGCCTCTGGATTGGTCTACCAACCTCGGACTCACAAAGAACATGTACAGCGTACAGAATCCACGCGTAACTTTGCAGTTGAAATTGTCCAATATGTGTTCCAGGTCCAAGTCGGTTGTGGAACTTGCTCTCCAGTTTGAAGAAGATTGTGACACATTGTGATGCCTCCACCGATGCAAACAGCAAGCTTTTCCACGTTTCCAGACTATGCACACCTCTGTGCCGAATGCACCGTGTCCCATCTGGTCCCCTTCTTCCCATGTACCTGTCAAGCCAACTTAGGCACCGTCACTCAACGTCAAAGAAACATTGATGTGGTCAAAACAAGCCTGTTCACTTGCTCATGCACATCATTGTTTTCTGTGGCATGGGGTACAGTACGTAGTTTTTCCATTTCCAATGAGTTGACAGCTCCAATCAACCTTTACAAATATAGATGTCTACTATCTACTGGTGCTGGACCCTGACACAAATCTCCCTGCACAACACAAGCTCAATCATCTTCCAAGTGACTAACAACACCTCCCCAAGGTCTGCCCAAATATGCATTCTATAGGTACAGTATTAGCTGCAAGCGGCCGTTTTTCTTGTTTGTCGGGTATATGCAACTCGGCCCTCACTGGTGACATGTTTTTCACCAGGAGATGAGCTTGCCCCCAGGCCCTTTGAGCGAGGGAGGCCAGGTGAAGGGTCGCAGTGTTTCTCGTCATGGCACAACTTATGGCCACAAATCAGTATAGAGAAAACAGTCCTGTTGTTCCGCCTTTTTCGACCCTGAACCTGGTTCAACCAGTTCCTTCGAATGCCTTTGCAAAGGCACAGTGCAGCATGAGACTTTGAGCGCTTGCCATTCAGGGAAGAACTCTCAGAACAAAATCTCACCTCCTCTATACTCTGTTACCACCAGTAGATACTGATCCGTTAGATGCAAATCCTGATCCTACTGGGGTAAGTAAAGCACGGGTTGCCTGCGAAGAATACAATGACAGAATCAGAATATGACAGACTATGGCTGAATTTTCTCGCTGGAAATTCTGTGCTTGCAAGATGGGCAGCTTGTCTTCCGGACGGTGTTGAAACCTGCGAAAGTGGAAGGGCACGCGCACAGACCTCCTTAAGTCGAACTCATGAACAACAGCGGCAAGTTCAAGCAGCTCAGGTTTTTCTGGGCTGCAAACTTGCCCTTCACAACGCTGGTACGCTGGAAATATCTGGAAATTATTGGAGTCAGGATCAAAGCTAAGGCCGCAACGTAAAGGAAGCGGGCAACACCCGCTCGGCAGGCGAACCATGTCATGCCTTTATCAATCTAGCACCCTCTTTGGAAAGCCCTGATCTTGCCTTGCTGCCTGCTGGCTTCCAAGCTGGTCCTTGTCGCTGCTCATCATGGAACATGGACGCACCCCGCTCGCTTGAGCGGTATGCCCGAGAAGGAGCGATAATTCGCTCCTGATCCCAGAGTGCCAAGTCTTGCTGAGGCAGAAATCCTGCACGATCGAAACACTTGCCAGACGGTCCAGCTAAGAAAGGCCTCTTTCCATCCAATTGCAAATTGTAACGCACAGTGCTTTGCCCTTCGGCTCGACTAAATCCAGAGCCTCTGTCATTGCAGGGCGAGGGGAGTTGGCGATGAAAAATGTCCATCTGCTCCCGGACCTTTTGCTTCACAGGCTCCACAAGGTCACAAGCGCGTCCTCGCAGCTCTGCTTTGCCTGTGGCACCACACATCTCTATCATCTCAGCATCCCACATTTTTGGATTGCCTCGAACCAGCTCGGGATCTTTGCCACTTCTGATTACTAACTCCAAACCAACGTTCCAATCTGTCTTGCGCTTGGCCCAGGGTGGAGGAATTGCACGCCCTCGATGTTCAGTGCATTCATTCATACGCCACCTTGTCAGTGTTTCCCCAGATTTGGGGCGTTTGTTATGTTCATCTAAAGCCACCACCTCTGCAATAAGAGCTTTTTCGCTGGCCTCACGCCTCTTGCGTGTGGCCTTCTCATCTCTTAAAGGCAGGCCGCTCCACGTCCCAGTATGGAGTGAGCACATCAGCACATCGCTCCAGTAACGCAAAATGTGATGTTTTACCTACAAAACTCAGAAGATTGAAGATGATTGAAGTAATAAAAGATTTGGATCCTAGTGCCAAAAGCGTTCTCACCTGTTCGGTGCCTTTTTCGCTGTGCAAAGCAGAGGCAAGACAAAGAAAACTCGTCGGCGCACAAGGATGAGCCAAATTGCAAGATTTCCAACATAGGGAATTGATGGGAATTGCAAAAACCTTCTCGGATGCTTCCTCGGAGAAATGAGTATCACTTGGACTGTCGAAATCAGGACAGGCAGACCTGTTGATAGCATCCAGACCTGCAAGATTGGCGGTGGATGCAAAGAAAGAGCTGCCATCGACCTCAAGAGTTCACAAGTTTCCACAGTGCCATTCGTTCAGTCTCCTGAGGGGCTGTCAATCGTTGCAATGAGGAAGCTGACAGAAGTGCATGTTCGCCATGGCTGTTGGAACATGTTCACTGGAGTTGGTGCATGTGCGCAAGTCCGAAACTGCAACTGCTGCTTGGTGCATGTCCTGCCCCTTGAAGGTCCATTGAGGCTGAAAATACGCTTCAAATGCTAGTAACAATGCTCGCTACTAGGGGCTCCTGGCATCGCTACTAGGAGCAAGGACGCTACTAGGGGCTCCTGGCCGTACTCGTAACAAGAAGCTATTAGCTTATTGTTTCTACTAGCAAACATTGTTACTACTAGTAAGGCACTTGTTACTACTAGCGATGCACTTGTTACTACTAGTAACAAGAAGCTACTAGTAACAAAGTCCTAAAGAACCACCAAACTCACTTTTGAGCCTCTGGTGCTCGGTACTAACAAGCCCATTGCTGACAAGTATACATATAATGTGTATATATATATAT